ACAATGGTAAGCAGCATGCAACGGCAATGTTCCTACTGTTGTGTATTCTACCTAGATGCAAACTGAATAATCCCCTGTTCGTGAAATATTTCGGATGGGTTTCGGATAGGTTAGGGGTAAATTGTAAGCGGGTTTTTATGCTTCACACGAGGATTACTTATTTCAATCGCAGTTGTATCACGACCAAAACCTTCTTCGAGGCGCCGTATCTTTCCCTTTTCCAACAAGACAGGGCTCTTGAAAACCCGCTAATTCGGGAGATATTTCAGATGGGTTACCGACGCGTTACCCTCTGAACCACTCAAAAAATGGACTCCTTCCGTGCCATAATGAGGATACTCATTCGTGCACCCCAATATACCTTCAGAGCACATATTTCGGGCGCAGTTAGTCGAAGGGGGGGCATTTTGCACTCTCGCTCCTCCCGTCAACGTGGCACTTCCACTCCTCCCATTCACGTGGCGCTTTCGCTCCGGCCCTAGTTCCGGTTTACAAGTCTCGCTGTGGACAAACCTATTACTCCTTGTAAAACTGGAGCAAGCACCTCAAGTCATGCTAAACCTGTCAACTCTTGTAAGCTCATGGAAAAACGAGTGTTGACAGGTAATCTTTACAAGGATTGACAGGTGGACTCTATAAACTTTTGCCTTATATCATTTCTTGGCTTAAAAAGATCTGACAGGTGTCCACTTGATGGCTGCCACGTGGATGGGAGGAGCGGAAGTACCACGTGGATGGAAGGAGCGGAAGTGCCACGTGGATGGGAGGAGCGAAAGTGCAAAATGCCCCCCCGTCGAATAACTGCGCCCATATTTCGCTCAAATGAGCTGAAAGAAGAGCTTGGTTACCATCGATCATTTGGTCCAAGTGTGCGCCGTGCATTACGCTTCTGCGCAGAGATTTTGGGAAGGTGTAATTTCTGATTTTGGGTGCTTTCTGTCCATGCAATCAGTTGTTATTCAAGTGTTTGAAAAGGGCAATACACACGAGTCTGTTTGAGATGTATTATTCAGTCATCTACGTACTACGTGTTCATGCTAACAATTGATACATAGTGCTAATCAATTTTTTATTATTTTTGCGGTCTTCCTAACATCCGAATCTTCTGCGGCTTTCCATCCGTTCCATCAAACATAGCATTGACACTTTTGTGCCGTTTCATGCTCGCCGACGCTCCTTTTGCGACCCTCCCCACGTTCCCTGCGGCCAAGTGCGATACCCTTACCGGGGATTTCGCACGAAAATAGGCCTGGTGAACAGAGCGCTCCAGTCTGACGAGAATACACTCACGAAAATTCTCACGTTTTTCAGGATCACGGCTTGCACAGCTATACTTCTTCTCTCAATTGAAACGTCATAGCCTTGTCCGGTGCTGACTGAACCTTGAAATTTACGACCCCCGCACTTCCCAGCGGCCAAGTGCTACCCCCCTAGGGTATCGCTACACCGGATTGCTGCTACCCCTGTCCGCGATAAGGTGTGTGAGTAACCTAGGTATATGTAATTATTATCCGAATTTACGTGCAACAGGACAGATAGCGCCGAGTTGGCGAACAAGTATGCCATACTTCAATGATCAGAGCCCCGCCCAATTTCTACAGCCAATGGAAGGGGTTCATTAAAAAAGAAGCTGTAATTGGCAAGTCCATCACAGCAGCAGCAGGTGAGAAAATTCACCTGTGTCAACGTGAGAAGATTTCCATAGAAGACAGCAAACATTTTTCTCGATGAATCCATTTGTTGGACTCACCTTTCACAGCTCATTGAAAAGCAAAGAAGAGTCGACTGAGCTTGCCGTATAACCCGAAAGGGGTGGGGAAAGTATAGCACGCGGTGGCTGATATTGTTCAACGTGGCACTCACTTCTGAGCCACCAATGGCTCATCATGTCATCAACGTGTTGAAATTCTTTGTTGATTATTCCAGTGTCATGTGCTCAGATGTGCTGGATCCACATATATGATGCTGTTTGGTGAAGATGTTAAGAATATTAAAAGAGCGATATAGCGACAAGATCAATAGATCTAAGAGCTTCATCTCAGTGCTCGTATGATTATAATCGCAGAAATGGCTGCAGCTGTAGGCGGGAAGGCAGAATGAGGAAGACTGGATTATTAAAACTATCTGCAGCCTTCGTTTTCGTAGAGTTTGCACACTAACGATCGAGAGTCATCACACATTATTCAGCTGCGTATTGTCGAGCGATACTGAATAGGAGTTGAAAGGGATGACACATAGTAAACACAAAATTGGCGCTAATACCCTTGAAAAGGGCAACTATGGGAATCCTGTATACAGAAGTATCAACACGAGTGCAGCGAGCCTCCGCTGAGTTTTGCGCGGTGCTGCGTTGGCGATCCTGTAAAATGCGTCACACACTAGGCATCGTTCATCTCAGAATCCTCTTCTGGGTGAGCGATGTGAAACGCGAGTAGAGAGAATGCATATGAGGATAGAGATATGATATGAATTGATATGATTTCATATTGGATTTGTGTATAGTACAATTGATGACTCCCCCTCCACCTTGATGTTTCGTTGAACATCGTAACTGGCTACCAGGGGCCCCAAGAGGCAGTCAAGGAGACCAAACAACAACGAGCAAGGGAAGCCGAGGATCAGTGACAGCCAATGAGGCCGTGACACGAAGGAAAAACTTGGAGGCAGTACTGCCGGGCTCTGGTGTACGCTATTGGTCGCTGATGGAAGCTGCCGTAAAGTATGAACGCAACCTTAGGAAGTCGAAGTGATCCTCCTGTCAATGAATCCTTATACTAATCCCTATTATAAACTTTTTATCTGCCAAAGCTATTTTCACTGAAGCTGGTACAGGCTGACTGATCTGCTTGAACATTCCGTGACAAAAGGAAAGTGATATCATTATATGTCCCAAAAATTTAGCGTATCAAATGAATTTCACATCTATCTGTGAGGTGTTATTATTCAGATCTGCGCGCAATGTATAGGCTAGTTCGCTGCTGGCGCCGGAAAAAAGGGGGCGTGTCAGGCGAGATGAGTTTCACGCGGGCCAAAGCCGCTCTCCGAACAACTGATTGGAGTGAATCAATGTGACAAGACTCTATCCAATTGGTCCGCATCACTGTTCTTTAGTTGTACGTATACGCCGCTCTCAAAACAGAGACGAGTGTGACGTCGTGGCACACTCCATACTCCTACAGCTACCTTTCATCCGCAGCGAACTGGAGTACACTCCACATTTTTCGGAAAACGCGTGGACAGTGGCTTGCGTACGAGATATTTCGCATTCCGACCAGTAATGTAAACACGATTGAATGACACCACAAACTCTGTCCATCATTAGGACAAGGTGGCAGTCGTCTCAGATGCGGAGCATTTCGCACATATAGTCATCCTACCACGCATGTCCAAAATGATAAGTAAGCAACCAATCGGCCGCGTTCGCAGGGTTGTAGAGTTTTCCGACAGGGCTCCTGCTGTTGCGGTATTCATGCTTATGCAACACAAGCAGAGCGAGTGCCCGTCACCACCTGGTATGGAAATCGGGGTCTTGGCGCACAAGGGAATGATGAAGCTAGTTGTGATCCACTGACCAGGTCATATCGAAAACTTATAAGGATTAGCTGTAATCTTGGAGGGAGTGAAGAATTGGCCTAGAAACCAATCGAAGGTGCAATATCAAGAGTGATTAACTTCAACACTGCTGAGTAAAACTTGTCATTGACAATGCTGAACTTCAGGCAGGCTGAATCAAGATTTAAATTTAGGACTACAGTGCTCTGTCGCCACTGCCTGCTGCTCAGTCCATGGCTGAGGGCCTAGTTTTCTTTAATGTTTCAAGTACAGTTGTGGATGCATCCGATTCCTCCGAATTCTTCAAGCAAAATGTCTAACTAATTATTCTTCACAGTGCGAGAAATTGTAATGCTGTGTCTCTGGTAATGATGCTATAGCTGGCGCAAATTTGAAGCATAAGTCAACTCGATTGGGGCCGCCTATAATAGCATGACGGTCTTAAGGTGAAACAATGTTTCAATATGAATATTTCCTTTCATCGGAGTCTGACGCTCAGAGTTTTGCTTATATCTCTCATTAATCCGTGACCCTCTCCAGCAAAAAGTATCGAGAAATCAAAGTTTACCTATCATAACATTTTCCTTCAAAGACTATTATCACAAGTCGATCATAGTAAAATGTTTTGTCACTCCGCGGATGTTTGTCAGCTCCCCTCCCGTACGCCGCTATAAGATAGAGGACACTCCGCTATCGCATTTCCTGGGCTTATGGATGAAATCTGCTATTATTTCTACCCTTTGGCGTCAATCCCGCGACGTAGAGCGGTCTGCTTTTCTTGTTAACCATCGGTATCCTCTTCCAAGACATCCTCGGCCACAGCCTTCACTTTACTGAGGTCTCTTCTAATCACGTCCTTAACCTTTTATTCGGGGCTTGTGCTTTCAAGTCTGGTGCCTTCCTTATATAGCCTGAACCTTCGCACAACGCGCCTGTGTCCTCAGCAGGACTGGAACTGTCTTATTGCCGCATGTCCTCGTTTCCATCTGTTTCTAGACCAGTCCTGCTGCAGGCCCATCTAAGCAGCCTAATTTCAACACAGTGGAGCTGTTTCTCCATGGTTCTTGTCTAGGGGCAAGCATTTGCTGCTGTAGAGCACCTTAGGCCTTACAATGCCCCAGTAGACAGTGCCTTTTATGGTCTTGGAGCATCGCCTAGCAGAGGATTGGTGGACTTCCTTCATCCAAGCCGCACTCATTCGAGCCTTTACTGCCTGATCGACGGGCATCATGGGTCAAATCGGTTACCAGGTCGCGTAAGTTCTCTACCCTGTGCGGATCCATCCATAACGTGTCATTGATGGGCTCCGTGCGCTCCTCAGCTCAGGACCTCCTAGCTTTGAATTTCCACCAGTTGATGTTAGAACACTAAAACTTTCTGAAGCGATTAAAGGCGTTAATTCAGACACTTACCTGATCAGATCTCTACAACAATCTTCCAGGACAGATATGCGCATCGGTCTGTTTGTTCTGCTGGTTTCCTTCAGCATTTGTGCGGCACTTTATTTCTTTGAAGTGAGCAAAATTATTACTTTGTAAAAATTCATGATACCATAAAGTGTTGGTAAATCGTATTGGTGGTTAGGATGTAGAAATATTTATTACCATGTCCTTCAATGCGTCGGCTAGACGGAAAGTTGAAAAGGAAAAGGAATCCGAAGTCTCCAGTCTCAATTCCGAAACTGAAACTGTAAAAAAAGGGTCTATACGGAGTGAAGGACATCTGACTACACACTTTAAATAAAACGATGACATTTTTTTTACTAGAATAAATGTTTGGACTGCTAGCGGTGACGAACAAAGTTCAGCTCCCTTAAAAACTGTATGTAGCCTTCAGGAAATAGGCTTACCATCAGATGATCGAAAAGGGTACTCCCGTAGGGGAAATCTATTGTAGTGATCGGTACTCTATGGTGGCTGAGTAAGAACTCTAGAGAATCAGTCTTTTCGGAATGTTCGTACCGTCAGCACAGAAAAAAAAATGATCGGCAATTTCACATCTTTTCATTGAGAGGCTGATTCCTAGAGCTATGTAAAGAGTGTATAGCAAGAAAATAGAGTTAATTTAATGAGTCAGAAATCAAAAATTTTGATCCCGAAAACCTTAACGGTATCCTCTCGAGAAGCTTCACGATTCATCAAGCCCTGTAAACGGAATGAAGGTACATACCTTTTTTACAGGACGACGACGGAATCTATAACGAAGAGGGCTGTGGAGAACGTGAGAAGATTTCAGTTACCGCTATATTCGATTGAGTAACAAGTTTTTATTGCAGGTCCTTTCGGTCCACGTTTGCGCTCACAAGGTGGAGAACTTGTAGAGAAAAATGAGATACCATGGGCTGCTCTGCTCAAGAGGAAAGGTAAGTTGTTCGTGTATTTTGAATACTCTTCTAAAAGCGCTCCACGTGACTTTTACGGAATTTTTGGAGTCATGTGACTTTTTTTTCACAATACTCTGGTTGCCTTTTCATTAGATTCCCGCAAAATGGTTTGTAGGCCTGCGTTTATACTTTGCGGCAGCCGTAGCGTAGCGTAGCGCAGCGTAGCGTAGCGCTTCCAGCGTACGCCAGCGGCAGTGCCGAAGAGAAGATGCATATCGATCTAGCTTCACCAAGCGTCACCAGCGGCACGCTGGCGTACGCTAGCGTACGCCAGCGGCACGCTAGCGCACGCTGCGCTGGCGAGGGCAATGGGAAGCATTAATGCGTATCGATCTAGCTTCACCAGCGTTTCTCCAGCGTTTTCCAGCGCTTCCAGCGCGGGGCTAGAGAGGGGCTAGAGAGCACTGGACGGAGGAGAGTACAAAGTACTCTCCTCCGCTTCAGTGCTCTCTAGCCCCTCTCTAGCCCCGTCGCTGCAAGGCTAGAGAGGGGCTAGAGAGCACTGAACGGAGAGGTACTTTGTACTCTCCTCCGTCCAGTGCTCTCTAGCCCCTCTCTAGCCCCGCCGCTGAAGCGCTGGGAAAACGCTGGAGAAACGCTGTGTGAAGCTAGATCGATATGCATCTTCTCTTCGGCACTGCCGCTGGCGTACGCTGGAAGCGCTACGCTACGCTGCGCTACGCTACGCTACGCTGCCGCAAAGTATAAACGCAGCCTTACTGCCTCTACTTCCGTTTCAAGAAGTCAAATTATCATGCACTCTACCTTGAAATCAGAACTCATGAAAATGAAGAGTAATTTGGCCTAGCTCGTCTTGTGAGAGCATTCTGCCCAGAGATCGCTTTCGATGCCTCCTGTGTGAATCCCATATGTTCCCCTGTCAACGCAAGAGCATCGGCTGCGTTTACACTTGAAAAGAGTCTACAAGTCTGACCCAGGCAGGACGTGTAACCCAACAGGAACGAACAAAAAGACTGACAAAAAGGGTAAATGCCTCCCAGCCGAACAGCTCGACTCATTTTATAGATTCTGCCCTCAAAACTGATAACCAGTCTCACGGATGAATATTTCAGAACGAGAAGGCTACTGCAGCGGCACCCTGATCACGAAACGACATGTGTTAACAGCGGCGCACTGTTTCAAAGAATGGTAATTTATGCCCCATTTGTTCTACAAGAATCACATAGTGCTGCGTGTGTTTGAGGGAAATGAGATTGAGGCCCATCTCTGAAGAAAGGGGTCGAAGAACATGATAGAAATTTACAACAGGTTTTCTTTACAGGAAATATAGAGATACGATCGAGACGATCTTGGAAACAATGATTGGCAGTGATTGCACAAGATATCCTTGTAAACAACAGAAGTTTCATCGCGTGAAAAACGTTCGTGAATTTTCCATGTAATCTGATGTCTCCGATAGTATCAGTTGTCTTCCATTTTCTCTTCCCAATCAATTCCCTCCTCTTCCTTCATGCAACACGTCTGCGCTCAACCTGGCGCTCGGGGTATACGGTCCTGGTAAGGGATTCATATTCAGAGTAGTGTCTCATCCCGTGACAAAAAACAGCTATTTACATGGGAAACTAATATGAAAAGCTTATTTTGAAACTGTTGAAGTTGGTGTACTTGTTGGTGAGGCATGAAAACTCCTACTCAGTCGGTCGTATTAGGACGCCTGCCCTGGCAAGTACAGAACCCAGAAGAATTATGGGGAATCCCTTTTAGGCTAGGAAGAGTACTCTTATGAAATGTAAGGTTCTCGCCAAAACACGCGGTGTAGCTGCCTTTTTCATTTTACACATGGGTCTAGCGATAAAATTAACATTCCGGCGAAGGAGCTATTCTATAGGGTTTAGCTCTATTTCATCATTTGGATTACATTCGGGGACACCTTTGCAACACGTTGCGGATTTTAGCGGGGGGGGGGGGTGTCATAGGGGAAGGAGGACGGGTCTGGCTCGGAGTCAGCCCGTTTGCCAGCGACTGCTGTTCTTGTTCGCTCCAATGGTGGAGAACGGACTGACGCCGCACCAAACCCATTTTCCTGACAGGCCCCACCATCGTTCACGGAAATGTGCTTCTGGGTCTCTTCAAGTAAAACTTGTTGATTCTAGTCAGAATTCAGAGGATAACGAACTGCGAAATATCTTTTCATTGCACCCCCTTTCTCATAAATACTAGAAAACCAAGAACTGAAAGAGAACGTTGAACCTGGACAGTTGGGTGCATTTTGTAGGGTGATTTTTGCCGTTTATCACTCCTTGTCATCGTCTTACAGCTTTAGCTGTGGATACCACACAGTAAATGAAGACATGGCGTTAACTTACTATTAGAGATACAGCAGAATCCTTCATAAAAACAAGTAGCAGAGAAAACTTCTTCTCCATTTTATTGAAGCTAAATCATCACGAGCCTCGGTGACAGAAAAAACTATTGATTAAGGTCTACTTTCTACCGACAGGCGATCGCCCTATCGATCCGAACGACATCGCCATTGTTCAGTTGTACACGCCAGCTGTAGAAAAAGGAGTCTGGCCGATTTGCCTTCCTTCAGAACAGGACCAACTGTTCAAAGGAGACCAACCACGTGTTGCTGGATGGGGAATCGACCGTTAGTACATTTTTATAAACGAGTTTCCTAGCATTTACACCGCTCCTTTCCTTTAGCAGCGCAACCAACTCGCTCTTCTGACCTTCTGAGCTATAGAAAGCTATTAGGTTGTCCGGAAAGTTCTTAGCGTTTTGGGTGTTTAACTTTAAACGATCATAACTTTCTTAACATCATCGGATTTAATCCAAATAAGCACCATTCGAATCAGCACACTTTTGCCAATGTGGCACAGTCGAGAAATCCCATCAAAGAAAAACTGGGTGGTCGAGAATCCTACGAAACCTGCGAAGGGTCTTTTTTTGCCTGGTCCTGGTTGATGAAGATTTCTCAGCAGGAAAGTTCTGAAACGTCTGAAAAAGGTGACAGTCGCTGTTGGTGAAAGGTCTAGAGAATATGGTGGGTGAGGTGGAACTTTTCCAGTCCTAATTCGTTCAATTTATGGATAGTGATTGCGTGAACGTGTGGGCGAGTCGTTGTCATGCAAAAGAATCGGACCCTTTCTTTTGATAAGTGTTGGCTGCAGCTGACAATATTTTTCGGTACATTTGTCCGTTTTGTTTCACAGTAGGGTTCTGCCTGTGATCGTTTGGGCCTGGCTGATGAAAAGTTATAGTGGATTACAAAACAGCCGATGACCACCAAACCTGACGCAGAATTTCTTTTTCGCGAGGGTTCGGCTTTGAAAATTACCTCGGTGGTCCGTCAAAATCCAAGCACTGTCCGGAACGTCTCCTGTTATGCATACATTGATCCATTTTTCATCGCAGTCGTGACAAATCCGTTCAAAAACGCTGTCAATTCTTTTGGCGCAAAAGCAAGTGAAGAAGGAACCTCGAGACGTGCCGATTCCTGCCGTCACTCCGATTGTGGGGCACCCAATTGTCGAGTTTTTTCACACTTCCCAATGCGTTCCAGACCATCTGCAAGAGTGGATTTGCAAACGCCTAGCTCTTCTGCTATCTCTCGAACTGTTTGGATAGATCAGCCTCCGAAATCCCCTCAAAATCTTCGTCAGAATTGCTTTTAGGTCGATCGCTATGAGGTTCACCTTCAAGGCTGAAATTTCCAGAACGACATTTGTTGAGCCATTGCGGCACGGAGTGCTTTCTTCTAGCACTATTGGGCCTCCCACGCCTGGTTAATTTGTTGAGCTGTGTTTCGATGCGGATTGCCCCAATTTATAGCCGAAGAAAAAATCGTCCGAAGTGCTCTTTTCACATGCTTGAAAAAATTTAAAAAGAGGGCTTTATAAAGCATGGTGAAACGGCAATTATACCATCAGATAGCGCAAGAAATTCTCTACAGGATGTGCTACTTGAGAAGCAAGGCAGAATGAGTTTTTTAATCAGCCAGCTGAATGTACAAAGATTAGGTACACAAAACGCTAAGAACTTTCCGGACAACTAATATATAGCGTGAATCTGTGAAAGTATAGAACCCTGTAAGGCAGTACTCAAGTGGCAGGCGAACGGCTTTATCACGATAATGGCGGATAAACAATAATAAGTAGTCAGTACCACCGCAGAAAGTCTAGGACTATGTTGCTCAGGAATATTGACTGATCACAAGTCGACGGAGCAGTTTGGCGACGGCGAGGGGGGCATTCGAACTTTTGCTACTTCCCATCGACGTGTCGACCCAACTAGGGTGCTTCGTGAGGTTACAAGAGTTGGCAGTGTTAATGGTGGCTAGACGAGCACGCTCTAGATTCAGAAGAGTTCACTATTTTTGTCAGAGCGAGACTTGTGAACAGGAACTACTGTGGCAGCTAAAGTAAATATTAAATACCGCCCCGTCGCCTAACTGGTTGGCGTGGACTCACACCTTGAGTTTAGAAGAAGAAAGCGGTGAGGAGGAAGAGGTTGTCAGCATCTCAAATCTTTTCTTTTTCTCTTAGTTTTTCTGGTTGACTTATTTGCGCGAATGAACTAGCAATTTTTCATCGTAGAGGTTATTTGCTCGAGTGCCGGATAACACTGTTGAAGTTGCCTTATCTAACGTTTCTCAATTAGAATAGCCTTGTTTTAGTGACACACAACAGTGACGTAATGCTGCACAAACTCACTTACGCACGGAATCAAAGCAGCTACGAAAACGAAATGTACGTTATGCGCGGAGGTACTCGTGCTGTGTGTCGGGTCAGTTTGTTTCTCTTTAGTAGCTGCAAAATTGGAACAAGACATGATATCGCACCTCGATCTGACTAGTCTTATAGAAACGTCTTTAGAAGAAGAGCAATGAAAAAAAGAAACATCAACACTTGCCATTTATCTGCCGTTTAACTGAATAGCTATCTTCTCGTGGAGTCAATTTACAGGGTCTCGATGAACAGACCTTCACTCGGTCGCATTAAAGCCACTTTCCGCGATAAAGTAAGGCTATGACCTCTCATATGTGTCGGACGATCCGGAAGGCGATTTGTGAAGCTGCGCTACTTCCAAAATGTGAACAAGAACTCCGTCAAAAGCTGACTAATTAGGCCCATGGACACCCCTTAGGCATATGCCGACCCCCACCGGCTGCTAGCTTCTAGCTAGTAGCCAGTATGCTATCTCTCTCCATAACATTTTGGACTGCTTCTGCTGCTTTTCTCCGCTAATCAGATACTTAGCACTTTTACGTTTGTTTTTGAGTTCCGTTCCCCGCAATTTGCGGTCACGAGCTGTGCCTTCAACTGTGCTTTCAAGAGAATAAAGGCACTCGGTCTATTTCGCAACAGACGTTCTCGCTGCTTCGAGCGTACTGCAATTTTCGGCGAGAATCCTCCATTTAATCATAGGAATACAATTGTTTCATTTTGATGTCTTTTCATTTCAGGGAGACAGTGGAGTTGGACTTTACCGCGTGGATAAGGAGGCAGCCGAGCCACAGTCTTCGGGGTTCTAAGTGGAGGAACCTCATGTTATCTGGTTCAAGAACACAGAGGTGAAACTTTCACAACAGATCAGGTGTTTTCTTGAAAAAAATGCTATACATAGTTGAACCTCGTCTCTGAGCTGTCTCTTGTGCCGCAGAGGGTAGCCCCATATCATCCGATCCTTCTCACCTGTCTATGTCCTAGTGTTGTTTACTATCTAGTGACAGTGTCGGTGGACAAATGCTTTTGCCTCGCCGTAGTAGGGTGCTAGCCTTTGCGTCCACATGCTGTGCTACCAGTGCAGCGACAGCCAGCACGGAACGCCTGCGCGGAGCCAGTGAGCCGTTCCGTAGAGCCTTGTCTAGTGAGAACGATTTCACCTTTCCCACCCCTCTCCCCTCTTGTTCCGATCTTTCTCTCTGTGGTCGCCTCTGCAGCAGTAGTGATAGAAAAAGGGTAGGATACAAACTGATTAATGATTGAGAATAGTCAGATATTTAGTGTTGGTGTCTTTATTCTCGCAAGAAGCTGCACGCTCTCGCAATTCTATGAAAGCCGACTACTTTTCCTTCTCATGTTCTTTTCTTGTTGAACTTGATGCTTTTCAGAAGAAGCAGAGGACAGATATGTCTCAGTTCCCAGAATGCTGCCATGGATCAAGTCCATTCTTGGTGAGCATTTACCCTTTTTGGACACGGACGCTTGTAGGCCGACTTCATCATAGAGATTAAGCACTGAGTCGAATCTGAAACCACAGTCGCGCAGCCCCACATGGATAACTGATGGTGTTTTACAACATAATGCGCTGTCCTAATGACGAACTGTGTACTCACCTCCAGGGTCATGTTTCTTGCAATGTGTGAGGTGAATATGTCCACAGCTGCAGGAGCATACCATCCTCCGCTCAAAGCTGCCTAAAAACAAGGCCGGAGGGTAGTGATACCCGGGTGTGTAGCAACAGAATCGTCCAGTGCAGCTAGTGAGCGTGGCCTGCGACATGCTTGCGGCGAGAAGACGAAGCGTGCTTCTGACGGTTTAAATAGGGTTATTGAAAGGAAGGTAAAGATTGATATCACCCAGGATCGAGTCTTGTGTTCAATTACGGTTAAGTTTTCCGTTAGAGTATGCAGAGGTTCAAAAGAGCTCGAGATTCATTGGGGTCTTCAACACTTGCTCTCGTTTGTCATCTTTTACAGCAGCTCACAGAAAAACTTGGCCATCCGTCTATTATGTTGACGCTGGCGACTGCGCAAATCATGTGAACCACATAAACATAGGGAGAATCATGGCCTTATCTGATTTTTTTTGTATCTGTTTATTTCCTGAAGTTGCGTCTGTGGATTCGCCACACAGTTGAGTGTCACTCTCAAGAAAAACATCGATTTTTAATCATTGATGAAACCTGTTAAATGTTGCGGATGTACGCTGTAGTAAATCATTTGCTCCAGTCGCAAAGCAAACAGCTAGCAAATGCACGTGAGTGAGCTGCTCATTCGCCGCGCGACGTACCGCGGACGCTGCCCCGGACGATTTTGTTGCACGTCTCCTAAGATACCTAGAGTCCACCCACGCTGCTGCGAAGCCATCTACACGCCTAATCGTAGCTAGATAATCTATTGGCCCGCGCCCTCTCACTTCTTGTGCTCTCTCGCTGACTTACAGTTTTGAGTTGAGATGTGCATTCAAAGTCCAAGACTTTCGCCACTGGTACCTAGGAAAGAAAGGTCCGGATGAGATGTTTCACTCACAAATCTTGACATTCACGAGCTCACATTTTTAGTAAATGAACAAACCGGTAAAAGTTGCAATGCTGAAGAGTAACCTTCACTGAATTTCAGCTGGAAATGTACGGGAATCAACGATTTGTGAGTGAAAC